AAACATAAATAAAGATTAATCCAACATAAATAAAGATTAATCTAACATAAATAACTAAAAAGTTAATAATGGATTGGGTAAAATTGGGTTAAGTTTAAATTTTATTGAATTGGATTTGGATTTGAAAGTTGAATTAAATTTAAAATAAAATTAATTTACATATTTTTTAATTTTTCGCGAGGATAAGGATCCTCAGAGGGCCTCGCAGGGCCCCATGGGACGGGGAAAATTCCCCGCAAATTTTCTAAGGAAGAAAATACCCCCTGTCCCTACCCACGGGGAGGGATATACCTCCCCGCCCCATCCTCATGATGAGAATCCCCACGGGGTATCGCAGAGATCAAGGTAAATTGTCATCCCTACGACAAATTCTATTAGTTTGGGAGTTAAAATTTTCAAAACTTTAAGTTTAAATGCTAAAATCTTCATAATATAAAATAAGGAGTTAAAAGTTTCAAATTTAATAAAATAAGGAACTAAACATATGCTTTAGCGGAAGTGTTTAATATAGAAGGTTTTTTTTTTTTATTCTTGTTTTTGGGTGAAAGTTTAATATAGAAGTTTGAGAATAGCAAGTGGCTGTTTAATTGGACTGATTTGATTGATAAAAATTTTAAAATATGACCAACACTCTCTCACATCTTTTTTAATTGCTCTAGTCCTTCGACTTATATTAATTAATTTAATAATTTTATATAAGAAATGAATTATAATTAGGTTAAACCCCCAATTTGGTTCCTTAACTATTGTATGATCCTTGAGTTGGTTCTTGAACTAAAAAAATTCCTAATTTGGTCCATAAAGTTTTAAAATTTAACCCCAAAGTAATTCTTTTGTGTGAAAATAGTTGACATATTCTGTTATTAATATGACATGTGGTCATTAAGCAACCATTTTCTATTGTTAAATAATGAACATGCCAATTGTTTTTTAATGGAATGATTAGCTTGGGGTCAAATTTGGAAACTTTAAGGACTAAAATCAAGTTTTTTTTTAGTCTATGAACCAATTTAGGGTTCATATAATAATTGAGAGATCAAATTGAGGATTTAACTTTTCAATTAAAAAAAGAACTTATTATTGAAGTGAAAGTATTTAACAAGAGTATAAAATTATAAAATCACACTTAATATAAAAGTTAAATTGAGATTAACTAATTTCTTGTTATACTAGAAAAATAGTGTTAAGACATGACGTTTTCCTAAAAAAATTTTTAGAAGACTTACTTTAAAAATTTATCTTCTAGTTAATATTTTAAAAATTTGATCATTAAATTAAAAGTTTTACTAATATAAATTATGCATTGCAATTCTCATACAATCTAACATTTGTAACCTTTTAATAAAAAAACTGTATTTATAAACATATATTTAATAGTGTTAAATTTTTTACAATTAATGAAGTACTTAGATTTATTAGAATAATTTAAAAATCAATATGTATAATCTATATAAATAAAATTTTTAATTTAA